TACACTCATATACACGTACACTCATATTCATTTAAGTATGTGTGTATGTGTCTTCCTGGGAATCTGGCCTCCTGGGAAGAAGGCCAGACTCAGGGACTGTGCCCTGTTCCCAGCCCTCCAGGGCCCCACCTACTCTGAACAATAAGACTAGAGCCTTTCTCAGCCCTGACTGTATTGCTACACATCCTGCCATCTGCCTGCCGCCACAGCCTAGAGGTATGTACTTTGAGACCTTGCTTCTAAGCCTGGGGCTGCGAGTGGGCAGCTCGATGGTCCCTTCTTGCCCTCCTCTGTACTCGTAGGATGTAGAGCAGGTGAGCAGTCGCCTGGTTCTGGGCGCACCTAGAAAATGCAGCGGAGCCTCCAGGTGGCAAGGACCTCCTCTATAGTTTCCATGCTTCTGTTGTATCTATGCCAGGGCCTCCAAGGACTCTAGGAAAATTTTCACTGAGCCTGGTCAGCTGTGGGCTTCCTTCCCAGGCCTTGCAGGCAGGATCAAATGGTTGCTGGTCCCCAATATGACTTAGAACATTTTCCAGAGGCTCAGGCAGGCCAGGATGTCCTTATCTAGTCTCTTCTGTCAAAATGGCCACTTCTGGCCTCCTGAGAGAAACTTGGGAAATTGATGGACACTCATTTCTAGAAAGGGCCCTGGAATGACTTGAAAGCATCAGTGTATTTGTATGTATTTGTGGAACCCTCTGTAGTCCGTTCAGGAAACTCGGTGCCCTGTGTGAACAGAGAAAGGTGAGTCAGTGTTTTTTAACAGCAATGATAAATCATAATTGTTGTAATAAGTACCATCACGGTGATGAATGTCAGTAATGATAATGGTCCTATGATGGGAGCAATAGCTCTCCGTTCCCTCCTTCCACGTCTCCTGTCAACTATCTAAGACTGTTGTCTCTACTGTATTGTTCTGTGTATTTTTTAATATGTTTTAATCCTTCTTTATTGAATTAAATCATAACATTATTTTTGTCATATCATTTGCTTTGTTATCTTTACCGTTAATGTGGATTTTTTAAGTTGCAGGCTTGTCTTTCACAGTTTTCAATTTCTCTCTGATCCTTTCAATAGTTTTTACTTGATTTTTACTTAATTCTTTTATCTCTTGCTCATTTTAAAGCCTGTCATCCACATAAATGAATGAGTTTTTAGCACTGTCTGTTCTCTTTTCTCTGCTCTCCCAATATGGTCTCTTCTCTTAAATTACTAATAAATCTTTATTTTACTTCAGAAGTTTTGGAGCCCTGTCAGGTCATTTTTCCTTCTGATGTCTTATAATCTCTTATTTTCATTCTTGTGATATGCTTTGAAGTTCTGTTAATTAAGGTTTTTAATAGTTTGTAGTCTTATCACTAAAATTATTGTATAATTTTTAAATGATGTTCTGCTCCAAGGCAAAGGAATCTGAATATAATATTCAGTCTCTTTTCCTTGCAATCTCTCTTACACTTTAGTCTTTTTAATAATTACTGCTTTGGTTATTTTTTCTAAGTCTTTTTCATTGAGTTGGGTTCTCCTTAAACCACATGAATTCATAGTGATAGTTTGGAGAAAGATATCAGCTCCCGCGGGGCTACATTTATTTATAGTTCTCACCTACTGGTGACCTTTGATGCCTTCTGTTTGGAAGTGTGGGGAAAGCACAGTGATAGCTAGATATGTTCCTTCCCATTCACAGGGCTGTTCTGTTTTGTGTGCAGAGGAGTTCCCTGGATATCTTTTATGTCCTTAGAAGAAAAACTCTAAAGGTAAAAAAATTATTTTACATTTCAATTTAAATCTGCCTTGAGGTCAAAACCTAACCTAACCCCATGGACAATGCCTGAGTAGTCTTACTAGATCTTTCTTCTCTTTTTGACTCAGTACGTAAACTATGTTGACAGAGTAGCTCCTGGACATTGTGAACTGTCCTCGATATTGACAGCCTTTTCCCAGTTATCAGACCCTTGCATTAATCTGGGGCTTTTCTTACAGATCTGATTGACGGTACTATCCTCCTTGTTGGGTGACTCACAGAGGAAAATAAGAGGAAACAGTGCCCAGAATTCTATTTCTCACCCCCACCTCCAGACATTTAAATCACGCTCCAGATCCTTAATCCCCTCAATTTGCCCCAGAAGATTCTTGTTCCTCTTCAGAGTGTGTGCCTACAACAGGCAGCGAGCGAGCCTGAGAACCACCCTGGCACTGCTTGTCTCTGGGATGCGGACAGCATTCTCCCTCCTGTGTATCACAGAGAAGATTCAGGTTTCCAGGTATGGACCAGTGTCGGGGGGACGGGTGTCCTCATTCTTCTGAAGAGCCAGTACCTCAGAGCTCAGGATAGAGGCAGGTGCTAAGGGGTGTAGAACATAGGACCCAGTCCACACGCAGTAAGGAGGAACACTGGGATAGAGCTTAGGGCCCACCTGGAGCGGGGTGTCCAGCCACTTCCTGGCCTCGTGTGTAGGACGGCAGGAGCTCATAGGTGAAACCACAGACTTGCCTCAGTTTCAGAGAATGAAGGAATGTCCGTTTTCTCCCTCTGCAGGGTCTGTCAGCTTTGGAAGATGCTGGTTGAACATTCTGCTCCATGGAGACATGTACCTGACATCTTACAGAGTATGTATGGATTCTACTTGGGAAAACGATCGAAGGTCTCTGCTCTAAACCGGCGTGGCAGTTCTGACACAGAACCCGTGCTGGGCTCCTTGGAGTGGAGAGGGGGTATTTCTAATGGCTGAGCGCAGCTTTGGTGTTGTCCAAAGGCCCTGCATCTCACTCTCTCCTCTCCCTGATTCTGGCTGAAGGCAGTTGATTTTAGGCCTCTGGTCATCAGACTGTTTGGTTGTTGCAGGGAGAAGCCCCAGTTGTCAGGCTTCTCTCCCCGAGGTTCGTGGGATTCAGGTTGCGGTCACCGAGTATGGAACTCTGTGATCTCAAGCATAAAGCCTTCTGGAAGCATCCCAGCTCGCCTGCACACCCTACGCCATTTTTATCCATCCCCTCCCTGCTGAATGTTTATCCCTCTGGGGTTCTGATTTTTCAGAGGCATTTTTAACCATGAAAGGACAGAATTCACCTTAAACTGTGGTCAGGGAACGGACTTTGGAGCCAGACACATATGGGCCTGAAAGATAGTTATATGCTGTGTAGCTTTGGGTAGTGAGTGACTGTATCCCCAATAGTTGGCTTCTTTAGGTTTTCCGTGGGCTGGGGTAAATATTAGAATTTTTACCGGGAAGGACAGACTTCATTATTTTGGAAAGGAGTTTATAATCAGAAAATAATTGTTTACAGGACTGCAGCCCCTGTGGGCAAGGCACGGAGGGCAAGTTACCTTGCAATGGACATTTCTCTGTGTTTATAATTCATACATAATGGTCAGAGGTGAACTTGCCTAATTGTATCATTCTTAGGGAGATTTAGACCATGGGAGGACAGAGCATAAATAAATATCTAGTGACTAGTGAGATGAATGGCCTCAGGGAGTGGTAGAGTTCTGTGTAGATCAGGGCAGAGGGGAAGGGAAAGGTTTACCTCTGGTTGGATTTAGTGAAAGTCTCTGCTAGTTGAGGTTTAAACTATCCATGTCATCTGTTAAATTGATAAAATAAAATCACCAGGTTACTGTGAGGACTAAGTGAGTATGTAAATATCCAAGCACAGAGTCATATTTGATGCAAATGTATCTTTTTTTTTTCTTTTGTGGACCTCAGGTACAAATGGGTGTGTTAATCTTACTTTTATTTATGACCCATTATCATCATTTTTCCATAAAATATATTTAGTTATTATTGGTATTTTAGAGGAGAATTCCCTGGTGGATCAGTGGTAAAGAATCCGCCTGCCAATGCAAGAGACATGGGTTCAATCCCTAGGTTGGGAAGATGCCCTGGAAAAGGAAATGGCAACCCACTCTAGCATTCTTGCCTGGGAAATCCCACAGACAGTGAAGCCTGGAGGGCTGCAGTTTGTGGCGTCGCAAGAGTTGGACATGACTTAGCAACTAAACAACAACAAAGGGGAGAATTTACACTTTATAAATGCTTTCTCTGTGTGTCTCTCACACACGTTTGTATGCATATGTATATGTATGCATGTACACATATGTGTGTTTGTATATAATGAAATGCAGGCGTATGGCAGCTAATGAAGATTAATGCAGGGATTTCAAGAATTTCAGCTACCCCTTTACTAAGGTAATCAGGTGGCATTAATTAGATTTCCTCCTAAACTCCAACCATCCTTGACCTGCAGAGTTGAGACAGTCCATGATGGTCCACTATGACTCTTGGACTCCTGCTACTTTCTGGTGCAGGGGATGTTAAGAACAAGGCTGGCAGGATAGGTGCCATGATTCCTCCAAATAGAATAAATTCTTAAATTTCCATCATAATGCAGATATTTTGGTTCACTGACTTCTAAGTTCATGGGGGACAGATCTAGAAGGGTTAAGGGAGAGCTGGAAGGGAGTGAGTTTTCAGAGAGCCACCATGAATGCTGAAGAACCGTTGTGAGTGCATAAATCAAGACTAATGAAATCTGAGAATTCCCAGTGTTACCTACAAATGAAAACCAAAATCTCCATGTGGCATGAGTCAGGGGTCACTATGGTTTGGAGTCAGGGAGAGAATTGAATAACTCTGGATATCACAGAGTTATTGAAGTTACTTATTGATATGAAGCTCAATACTTTGAGCTTTGATGTTCTTGTCCATACGTGTCCATAAGTTGTCTGTACTCCTGTTGTTGTTGTTAACGACTACCCTGGGAGAGCAGCAGCATCCTCTGTGTGTTTCTCATAGAGTGTGCACTGCATGTTGATTGGTTAGACTGGGAGTCAACAACCAGGTGAAGGTTTGGGGTTTCATGAGATGTTGGACTGGAACGTGTGCACAGGACTGGAGTCTTTCGACTTTTCTCTCCATCCTCAGCTTTGCCTGCTTAATGCTGGGACTGTCTGTGAGTGAAAACCCAGAGAAAGACTGCTGGCAACTGAGTTATTGACAATGCAGCCATTGGTGAGTAGGAAATGCCTTTTTCTGCTGAAACTGCATACCCTGCTCCTGAGAGGAGATGGGCAGGTTTCGCTTATTGGATGGATGTTCTAAGTGCAATCAAAAAGTATTCATGGGTCTGAGCACCAGTGAAATCTATTAACTAGTATCCTTCCTAACATCACACTGATTTATTTCCGCCTCCATGCAGCTTGTGTATTTATAGAAGAGGTGAGAGAAGTATTCTTTCTCTAATCTGTCCCTGGTCTCATCAGGGAATAATTCACTTGTTAATCATGTTATTGGCTGTAATGGCCTAAGGTTGTGCTGACCAGAGATGAGGGAGGAGCAGAAGTTTACCATCCAGTGGAGAGGCTGAGGTCTCATCACCTGAGTTCAGTGAGTCCAGTCTTCACCAGTCTTGGGGGTGGGGGTGGGGGTGGGGCTCTGAAAGGAGGACGAGGGAAGTTGAGGACAGAGAATGCATGAGGAATCATTCATTTATTTTTTTCTAACTTTAGAGTTTTGATAGAATATATCTGCTCTTTTAGGAACTTCTTAAAAAGAAAATTAACCCTTTTTTCATACTTGGTAACTGAAATTAATATATAGGGGGTATTATTTCCTTTATTGTGGCTGCATGTTCAGGAGGAGGATAGTAAAGTAAAAATTTAAGACCCTGTGGATAGTTTTGAAGAGCTAGAATGCCCAACCCAGTCAAGAGGCTTCTGTTTTTCTTTAGCAGAGAGGCAAGCTGAAGACAGGAGAGAATGATGAGTGGTGTTTGAGGTCCCAGAGAAAACTGAGAATAGGCATGGTCAGTCTAGGACTGTCCTTCAAGAGAGCTCTCTCAGAGTCCCTGGCTTATGCTACTGAACTATCTGACCTCATACCTTATTGTGAACATCCAACTCTTTTGAGTTCAGTGAGACCGCACTTAATGATACCAAGTTCTATATGAAACTTGTTCATTTCTGAAGAATGATGGAGATGGTTTCAAGGTTCTTGGACAGTTTACTGAGTAATAGACTGAGGTTTGTATTTAATGCATGTTTACTTAGATAGGAGGAACATCATCCATTAGTTCGTTGGATCTTTCAATACTCATAGCACATTAGTAAACCATTTAATAGATGAGGAGTCTGAAGTTCTTTTAGGGGAATGATATAACCACAGTTATGGTTTAAAAGTGGCAAATCATGGTTAATGTTTGCCTTATGATATGTCTGTAAGTTATTTGAAATTAATCAAGAAGAGAGTTCTATGAATTTTCAAGTGAAAGTTTTAATTGCATGTCTGAACTCATAATTACCATTTTGGGGGAAATTTTTCACATTTTATCATACCACACTTCATGTGGTATTTCTTTATGACAAAGTTGTATTAATTCAGGCTGTGTACATCTCTGTGATATATCTGAAAAGCAAACACCAGCTCAGCATGAGCTAATGGGAACCCCAAACTTGGCTTGATCCTTCTGTACACCCAGCGTCTCCACCCCCTTACTCAGCACTGCCATATCAACCCTTCTGCCCTGGACGTTAATAGAGTTGTTCTGTCAGAACCATAATATCCATGTTGTAGGAATCAGTGACGTTTGAAGATGTAGCTGTAGACTTCACCCAGGAAGAATGGGCCCTGCTGGACACATCCCAGAGAAAACTGTTCAGAGACGTGATGCTGGAAAATATCAGTCATCTGGTCTTCGTGGGTGAGTCTGTCAACAATTATGTATGTATGCAGGTGAGTAGATAAGTAGGTAGGTTGGTTGGTAGGTAGTTGAGGTGAGGTGAGGTGAAGTTGCTCAGTCGTGTCCGACTCTTTGCGACCCCATGGACTGTAGCCTACCAGGCTCCTCAGTCCATGGGATTTTCCAGGCAAGAACACTGGAGTGGGTTGCCAATTCCTTCTCCAGGGGTTCTTCCTGACCCAGGGATCGAACCCAGGTCTCCCGCATTGTAGGCAGACGCTTTACCATCTGAGCTACCAGGGAAGCCCTGGTAGGTAGGTAGGTAGGTAGGTATTTATTGATTCAGCCAATAAGTTTCTAGAACAGCTTCTACATACTCACCCAGTCTCTGTCCTGATGCTTTTGTAGGCCTTATAACTATGTTCAAGTTGTTTCTTTATGGAATACTTACATCCAGTTTGTCACCCTACTAAATATAATCTTGACCACAGTTTAATCTCTTTCTTCCTATTCAGTCTCTAATATTCAGAACAGACCTGGGAACTTATTATTTTTGATGTATCAATAAATTGAGTATAAATATTTTCTAGTTATTCTGCTTTAGTCACTGTGCTGAGGATTGACAGCAGACTAGAGAAAATGGTAAAACCTTGATTATACTTGTGGAACTTATTGGCATCTGTTTGAAAATAATATTCAGTCTACTATGGGGACATTTAATTTCTCCATTTTGGAAAAGACTAAGGATTCTGTGTGTCCTGTCTTCGAACATGGACATCAGCATCTAGAGGTCTTCACTATTTTGGACACACAACCTGTATTTCAATGTTTTCTCTGTTCAAGGTGTTGTTGCCTGAGCTGAACTTCAGTGGTCAGCCTTGTTATTTCTCAGTAGCCTGTCCTGGACTTGATGATAATGTGCTTTCACTAGCACAAAACTCAAAATCCACCTTTTTTCCATGAACAGGGTATCAGCATTGCAAATTGGATGTGATTTTCCAGCTGGAGCAAGGTGAAGAGCTGTGGATTGAAGGAAGAGGATTTTTCCAAAGCCACAGTCCAGGTATGCATCAGGGGCCTGTGCCGAGTCAGTGATACTGAGTATATACTTAGAAAACATCAACTGAAGATTTTGTTAACTGAGTGATATTTTCTAAGATGTAGGTGAAGGACACTAGGGCAAAATTCTTTAAATGTTGTTATTTCAGGCTCACTCTTGTGTCCTCCTGCCATTATCTTTTTTTTTTTTTGGCTTTAGGGAAAAGGACATTCATATACTTATTAAACTTTCACTTAATAACTCTTGTTCCCATCCTCCCCTTTGAGGGTTTTCCCTCTTTACCTACTCAGCATCTCATCTCCATTTTAAATTTTTCATATTTCAGTCCTGAAAATGTTTACTAACTGTCAATGCCCTATAATGTGTTTCTGTTTCTTGGAGTGTTCCGCATCGACATGCCAGTTTTTGAAACATAGAAGTCGGAGTTTTTCAACATTTCCATTTCCCTAATGCCATTCTGATTTTTTTTTCCCAATTATTTTAGGCAGGGAAAGTGCCTTTAAAGAAGAATTGTTAGCCACACAGCATATCAGCAAGAAGGACACATCTACAATCATCCCAAAGGTAAGTTTCCTGAGTGTTAAGCCTGGTCCTCAACATTAAAAACCTGGCAGTGGGTATTAATAATTTAGATTAAGGTATTTCTGAGCAAAAAGTTTTAAATGGTTGAATTTAGTGAAGGAATTAACCTGACCTCAAAACCATAACCTGAGATCTTTAAAAAAAAAAGAGGATGGGCAAATGCATAAATATTGTTCATATGTCTAGTCTTTGAAACATATTGCAGTCTTCAGAATTAACATATAAGCTCAAACTGAAGTTGGGATACTATTTAGAGAAAGTCTTTATAACACATAAAAAGCAAATCACTGTGTGTATGCAGGTAATATTGGGAAGATTGTAAATGGAAGCTCTCACTGAATGATGTGTTTTGGATTTGTATGTAGAGCAAGGAGTGTATGAATGTTTGTAGACAAATCACTAACAGCCTTTCATCTCCTTTCCAAAAGCAGACATTTCACACTCCAGAGGATCCCTGTGAATGTAATGATTTGGGAGAAGATTTCAGTCCTAGCTCCACACTGAGTCAACATTTGTTAACTCACACAGAAAAGACACCCAATATCAGCAAACAGTATCAAAAATCCCATAGTGACCAGTCATACCTTAATCCATATAAGCAGATCCACACCAGAGGTAAATCATGCGAATGCCATCTGTGTGGCAAAGCCTTCAGCAATTGCTCTAGCCTTAGAAGACATGAGATGACCCATACTGGCGAGAAACCTTATGAATGCCATATCTGTGGGAATGCCTTTATTCAAAGCTCTGACCTTAGAAAACACAATCTGACTCACACTGGAGAGAAGCCGTATGAATGTCATCTCTGTGGAAAAGCCTTTAGTCAATCCTCCAACCTCAGACAGCATGAGAGGACGCACACTGGAGAGCAACCATATGAATGCCAACTCTGTGGGAAAACTTTCAGTAAATGTTCTGCTCTTAGACGTCACGAGAGAACTCACACTGGAGAGAAGCCGTATGAATGTCATCTCTGTGGAAAAGCCTTCAGTCAGTGTTCTGCCCTTAGGCGACATGAGGGAACCCACAATGGAGAGAAAATTATGAATGTCTTCAGTAAGTATTCTGACCTTAGATGACATAGTATTATAAATGTAATAAACATGAACAAGACTTCAACCATAGCTTTAATTGAACACATGAGAGAGTCACATCGAAGAAAGCTGTAATCACTGTAAAACACTAATCAGTGGGGAGGACCCTTCAGTTATCCTTACTGCATTTGACATATGCAAATTTATTTGAAAGAGAACCCACATGTGTGACATTTATATAGCAAAACCTTCAGTCTGTTGTGTGGTCATAGATGTCATGAGAGAACTTGCACTGTAAATATAAGGAATGTGGACGTCTTTAACAACAGCTCTAAACTTTAAACACAGTGGAGGATTTGCATAGGGGAGAATCCAAGTCTGCAATCAATGTGAAAATGCTTTCATTTATAATTAATGGTAAACAACATGAATAGACTCCATCTAGGAAAGCCTCTAGGTCTAATCACTGTGAACAAACAAGCCAGGCACAGTCGATGTGCACAAGAAAACTCAGTGAAGGAATAATCACTATGACAGGAATTAAGAAGAGAAATACTAAATAATTCATCCTAAAGAAGTGATTCACTGAAAAATCATGACACATCCTTTATTCATAAGATCCACTCCTGAGGTACATGTGTGGATTCAGACTGTACAAAACACTCTGTGTCATGAAAGAAGGAAAGTCTTCAGTGACCTCATTTCATAATCAACATTAAGGTTCTCATGTTGAAGAAACAGTGATCCTAAAATCAAGTGGAGAAAACTTCATCTAGATTTCAGAAAACTAAGGAGGGGTGAAAAACCCTTTAAAAGAGCTTTTAACATACAATTTAGCAAATAATTCAGAATTTTGGGTGAACTATTTATGAAGAAAAATCTGATATATAAATACAAGATAGTAAAGTGATCTGGGAACACTGAATGCCAAATTTTGTAAGAAACTAAACTTTTTTCAATAGATTGTTATTTGTAAATATTTAAATAATAAAGTCTGTTGCTGAAAAATCTCGCATGTTGATGAAGTTCTAGTTTTCTTCATGCAGCTGTAAACACATAGATCTGGCTCTGCACTTGGTGACATGTGGGTAAGATTCAGCCTAACTCTGAGTCTTCCCTGTTTCTCTCACAGCTCCTTCCACACAGCTCAGCTCCACTCAGTCCAGCTTCCCACCATCAGCTGTCTTCATCCACACCCTGGTGGCAGTGTTCAGCCCACTGGCTGGTTTCTCAGGCGCCTGACCCTGGCCCACCATGTGAGTAGTGTCATGGACACCTAGTGTGAACCACCGGGTAGTCCCCAGCCTGGCTCTGCCCTGGGGTAGCTACATGGGGCCAGAGAGACGCAGCTCTGCTGTTCCAGGCCAAGAAGATTAGTAAGATTTTTCTGTGAAGCCTCTGAGTTGAACTAATTGGGGGCAGAGTTTGTTGTATGACCCCATCCCCCATTTTATTCAGGTGAGTCCTTGGTTATGCACTTACTCACCCTCCAAACAGGCTGCTGTGCCACCGCCCCCCCCCCCACAACACACACACAGCGGCCCTGGAAAGAAGACCCAAGCAATATAATATCCCCTAACCTCTCAGGTACCACAGAAGCCCTTCTTATCATTAACTTAGTGTTCTTTTCCCCAAGCGAAATGAAAGTTTTTTCAAAGGAGGTCTCTCCTGCTTTGCTCCCAGGGCTTGGAAATGTGTTGCCTTTCAACACACTTCCACACTGAACCTCCATCTGTAGGGGAAGTACTCTCAAGAGAATACTAAGCAGATGGGCGCCCTTCCCAAAACTTAACACAATCACCAAATCATGGTCTGAGGCCAATTAAATAAGCACATCTCAGGGTGAAACATAATTTTTTTGAAAAGTGATTTTACTGTTCAGCTAGGGTGGAAACAGGTCATGTGTGAGGATGATGAGCAAAATTCAACATCTTGGTGTTTTGGCTGGAGAGGGATCGGCTGTGATCAGGAAAGTCCCTATTAATATTTTATATAATAAACACAGGTGAAAGCCCATAGTACTTTTAGCTCCAGAATATCTATTTGACTCCATTTTATAATCTCTATGTTGGGAATTCCCTTGTGGTCCAGGGATTGGGACTCTGCTCTCATTGCAGAGGGCCCAGGTTCAATCCCTGGTTGGAGAACTAAAATCCCATATCCCAAAGGCACAGCCAAAAAAAAAAAAAAAACCTCTTAATTGAAACTCGTGATATGATGAAGCATCATTTGCCTGGTTTCCTTTACTTCTTTGAGCAACATTGAGACAGTTGTTTAAAGCCTTTTTCTAGTAACTCCAATGTCTGTCCTTCCTCAGGGACAGTATCTGTTAATTTTCCTTTTCTCCTAAGGTTGGGATGTATTTTCTTGCCTCTTTGCATGAAATACTGGATATTTTGATTATTATAATGTGTCTAGAAATGAGACTCTCCTGCCTTCCTGAGATATGTTGACATTTTATGTGGTTTGTGCTTATTTGTTTGTTTATTGATTTTCTGAACTTTGTGTAAAAGGTTTTGTTATGTATGATACACCATTGAGGTCTGTATTACTTTAGTGGCCACCTTGTGATTTGAGAGAGATCTCCTTAAACACTAGAGCCAAAACCAAAAAGCCCCCCCTCTACACAAAATACTCTGCCAGTATCACCAGATCTCTGTGTTGGTGCTTTTCTTAAAGCTTAGCCAGGAAGTTTACAACTGTCACACCCTTCCCTCACTGCTTGCTGTTACTATCTTGCATCACTGAGCAGGATTTGAGGATCCACCTTCTTATTTGAGAAGCTCTGTCCTTGTATATATATATAACTACAGTGTGAGATGATGGACTACACCAAGGAAAGAAAACCTGCACCATCTGAAAACGCAGAGGTAGGTAGCAGAGAGGGTGGTTTTCATTTCCTGTGTGGAAAACGGCAGTGAGAGGCCTCCCCAATAACATGAACTAAAACCTAGTAATAGGTAAGAAAGCAGGTCCTCAAATCCTTTGAGAAGTGCTTCTATAAGACATGTGTAAGATCTAGAAACTCCTCTAAGTTTAAATACATGAGATATTGAATGATAGGCAGAACTGTCTAAAACTGGCTCTAGTGTTGCCTAATCAGAGAAAAAGCCATTCACGTGCATGGGTCTCCCCTTATCCACTGCTCTGTGACCCTCCTCATCACAATGCCCAGGGCCTAGTCACAGTCTTATTATGAGCCATCAGCCATAACTACAGCAAGAGAACAACCTCCCGGTTTCTAGTCTTTTCCATATGGGAGGACAACCTCCAGGTGATAACTGTGCTGGACTCAGAAGATTAATATCACCACCACATTTAATATTCAAAGGTACGCCTTATTCAGTTTATTAGTTCCTGAAGACAAATCTGTCCTTTAGGGAAAACTAGCCCAAAGAAAGGTTACCAACTGGTGATTCATGATCACACGCATATGGAACCTTCCGAAAAGCATCTTTGAATTGTCTGAGAACTATAGTTATAGTCAGGTTCTACTGCATTGAATAAAGACAATATTTCTTAGGGATTTTCACATTTTAAAAACTTTTAATTGCAGTGTTATAAATCAAACATGATTGAGATGAAAACAAAGTCAGTTTCCTCTTACAGCCCCCAGGCAGTGAGAGCCCTCGGGATTCGATGGCATGTCGACTACAGTCATGTCTGGAATTCAAAAGAAAAACCAATAAGATTTTGGATAACCTATATTAGAACTTCTAGTATTAAAGTAGAAGGTGAATTTAAATGATAGTAATTACAATATTGATGATATAGTAATTAGAACATTAAATAATGATGGAATATTTTAGTGGTAAATTTCAATTTCATTAATGTGATATATGCTTATACTGAATTATGCAGTAATTAATGATACTATCAAATAATGAAGTACTGTTAACATAATATACATTACTAATATATCAGAATTTGAAAGATATGTTAATAAAGTTTTAATAGAATGCTTTCTAACATTCTCAGTAATAGTTATATAAAAGTTGTGTGAGATATTATTTATTCAACAAATAAAATGGTATTTCTCAACATCAGTTTTAGGTTTACAACAAAATTGAGAATGTACAGAGACTGCTCCTTCCCCCAAACCACACAGTCTCCTACATTATCAACACCACTACTAGATGGTACATTTTTTAATAAAGATGAACCTACACTGACGCATCATAATCATCCATGGTCTACAGTTTGCATTACAGTTTGCTCTTGGTGTTGTACATTCTGTGAATTTGGACAAATGTATAATGACATGTATCCATCATTATAATGTCATACAGAGTATTTTCACTGCTCTAAAAGTCCTCTTTGCTAATTAACTTTTTAAAAAGTGTACATTTACAAAAGAATATCTGAAATTATATTTTAATGGCTTTTAATTTTCCATGTAATAAAATTATTGTCACCATTTATTTATAAAGAATTCCTAGTATTGGTTAATGTCCTCATCTGAAATGTCAAGTAATTCACACTTGGCATACTTTATATATATCATTTCCTGGTAAAGAACACTTTATCTGAATGTTTTATTACTATTAACTAGCCTATCTTAATATACAACTTAATCTATGTGTGCTAAAAAAAAATATTTGTTAGGTTAATACCATTGACCTTAAATTCCATAATAATTGGTTATATTTTGATGTAAATTTTTCATTTTATGTAATATTTTGATTTCAGTTCTTTTGGAGGCATGTCCTCTGTACATCAACAGTTATGTGGGTATATGAATGAGCCTAGCATGAAATGTTGCTAGATGACAGACTCTAAGATAGAATTAAAAATAGACATTATTTTATTCTTTATATGCCTGGAACATAAAAATCCACATATTATCACATGAATTAGCAGTGTACATTATGCATAAAACACATTTATTTTTCCATTATTGCTGGTTCTCTAAGAAATAAGCTGTAATAGATTTCCAAAATCAGTTTTTGGGAAGTCCCTG